AGTTATAGAGTAGCAACGAAAATAATTTTATGGTTGGGGGTCACCACAACATGAGGAACTGTATTAAGGGGTCACGGCATTAGGAAGGTTGAGAACCGCTGCCCTAACCACAGACATTTAAATTTTTCCTTTGCTAACATCCTTGATGCAGTCTTGTCTTTCTGCCCGTTTTGTACCATTCATTTCACAATGCCCTGGTTCTCGGTTCATGGTTAGATCGGGAATGGACGGCTGCTCAGGCGAAAATGGGAGTTTGGCGTGTTGGAAGGAGAGGAGAAATCCTTCCGGGCCAAGTACCAAATGTGGGTATTTCTGCCCTTTGTCCTCATAATCTCGTCCCACAGCCCCACCTCTGCCAAGTTCGCAGAGAGTCCGTTGTTTGATGGCTGAAAACTTCAGGCTCACTTAATTCATGCATGAGGTGTTTGCTTTCAGTGGTAACTGTGCACATGGGACGTTCAGTGGCAATTTCAGCAGATTTTAATTTTGAATTTTCTTTCATTAGTATCACCCATGTGGCTGCATGTATACATTTTCACTCTTACATATCATACAAGACCAGTTTTTGCTCATTTAAAATAGACTTTTGTTAGTTAATCATATGTTGGAAACTGTGTCATCACCTAATTTTCCTATACATGCAAATGTTATATTTTTGTCTCCAATATACCAAATATGCTTACAAACACACATGAATTGCACTTACATGAGCGATATTGAGATTTGAGGCTCTTACATTATAAATGTATACTGGATTAAAAGTATCCAGTCATTTATTGACAGTAAGCCCTCCTTTTAGCTACCAAAAAATATGATATACATCTTATTTCTCTGGGTTTTATGTTTGGCGGCTGGAACTAAAAACTGGTGAAGTTTTCAACCACTTTGGCCCATGGCTCTCTCTTCTCAGTCCACGTAGAAATCATAGCACCACTTTTCTTTTTTTTAAAACAGCACTTTACACGTATGCAGGTTCACAAGGCTCTTATAACACCCTTTATTCATCCATTCAACAAATCATTAGAAAAGTCACTATGTGCCAGGCGCTGGGTTATATGCCAGCTTCACATTGGTGAGGATAGCAGACCTAGCGAACCAGCCCTGCCTATGTTTACTCTAAGTAAGCCCAGGGGTAGAGGTCCCCAAACTGGGCCTAGTAACCCCCTTCCTCCAGGAACTCAGCCTGTTGGAGGGACAAGACAGGAACCCCTACTGCAGGTTGGGGTGTCAAGGCCATTGGACCACAGTAGCGTGTGGTTGCAGGGCGGCCAGAGTTCAAGCCACTTCAACCTCTCAGCCTTAATTCCTCCATCTGTAAAATGGAGCAGTCACCCCTTCTTTAACTCACAGGGTGGCTGGAAGGTTCAAAAAGATAATGTGCCTGGAATTCTTCCCCCACAAAGCACAGACCCGGGCCTGGCGGGGCACGTAGGGCCCATACCTGGCTCGGGTTGTGTGCTGCTGGGCCCAGGCCTAGCCAGCTGCTGCCAGGGAGGCTTATGGGCCCAGTGTGGACGCATCTTCTGGTTTCGCAAAAGATGCAGATATCTAGATTTTCTTGTGAAATTTCCTGAATTTTAAACATGGGCAGGTAATCCAAAAAATGTTTAAACATGGCCTGAGTCTTACAGACTATATTTGCAAGTCAGAAGTATTCGATCTGCAGCCTGAACACACATGAGAAAGTGATCAAAGCAGCTGCCATCTCTCCAATCCCTGAAATGACATCTGGGCGCCTTCTATTTGTCCTACCGGTCCTCACCTCACAGCCAGAGGGGCAGTGACAGATGAGGACATGGACATCTAGTAAGATGAAATCGTTTGCCCAGAAGTCACTCAGCTGATGCAAGGTGGGGCTCAGGCCTGAACCCCATTACTGACCTGTGACCACAGCCCACATAGAGGTGCAGCTGCCCATCTGGAGGAAGGGGCCTGCCTGAGTCAGGGGGCTG